TTAGGACGTGATCAGGATATCAAACACGAAATCATCATTGAAAATTCCAATCCAATCAAACAAACTCCCAGAAGAGTGCCATTGCAGTACCGAGACAAAATCCATGATTTAATTGATCCAATGATTAAGCAAAAAATGATCGAGCCGAGTATCAGTCCATGGGCATCTCCCATAACCCTAGCTGCCAAAAAAGATGATGGAATAAGATTTCGTGTTGATTTTCGTAAAGTCAATGATGTAACCAAGAAAAATGCGACTCCTCTACCAAGAGTTGATGACATCTTTGATGCTACATCGGGCTCACAGTGGTTTTCAACTATCGATTTGAAAAGTGGATATTAGCAGATTAAGATGGCGCCAAAAGATCGAGAAATCACTGCCTTTACTATCGGTCATGAACTATGGCAGTTTACTGTAATGCCTTTCGGTTTATGTAATGCTCCAGCCACATTTGTGAAGGTAATGAATCGAGTTTTGGAGGGTTTGGTATAGAAAAAATGTGTTGTTTATCTTGATGTCATCATCGTCTTTGAGAAAGACGAGAAAGAATATTTTGATAATCTTGAACTAGTTTTTTCTAGACTTTCAGCTGCAAATTTGAAGATCAATCCGAAGAAATGTAATTTCCTTCAACATGAGGTGCTGTTCTTGGACACATTGTGTCTGGTAAAGGTATCAAGCGCAATCCTGAAAAAATTGATTCCATTGTCACTTGGCCAGTCCCTACTTCAAAGCTTGATCTACAAAGTTTCCTGGGGCTGCTTTCGTACTAGAGGAAGTTCATCCAAGAATTTGCCACTATTGCCAAGCCTTTACATCGCTTAATTGAAGACAAGAGACCTTTTATCTGGACTCAAGACTGTCAGATTGCTTTTTCGACGCTAAAAAGAGCAATCATTTCTTCACCAATTCTAATGATACCTCACCCCAATTTGCCTTTTGTGCTGGACACCGATGCATCTCAGTTTTCCACTGGAGTAGCATTAGCACAAATACAGGATAGCGAAGAAAAAGTTGTGGCCTATTTCCGCAGATGCCTCAATAATGCCGAGAAAAATTACTGTACAACGAGCGAGGAATTAGTTGGAGTTGTGAAGGCAGTTGAACATTTTCGCCAATATCTACTCGGTGGAAAGTTTACTATTCGAACTGACCATGCTGTTCTCTAATGGCTATTATCATTCAAAAATCCGGAAGGACAAATGTCTAGGTGGCTGAAATCTCTTTTCGTTTTCGATTTCCAAATCACTCATCGTCCAGGCCGCCAACATGGAAATGCCGATGCGCTTTCAAGGAGACCATGGGACTGTAGGAAATGTGACAGAATTAATGAGAAGAATGATGATGTTCCAGCACGTGTTCGTCGGACAGTTTGCCTACTTGGAGATCAATTGGATTCGAGACAAATGCAGGTGGATGATCCGGTTTTATCAGTCATCATTGAATGCCTCGAAAACCAACGCCGTCCAGAATGGCAAGAAGTTTCACATCTGAGCGTTGAAATGAAGCTATACTTGTTGTATTGGGACTCCTTGGAACTGATCGATGGTAAACTATTCTGAAGAACTGTCAATAAATACGCCCCTTTGATTATCCTGAATTATTTCTCCGTTAAATACAACAATATTAATGGAACGACTCGACACCACCGGAATAAATAAAGATTTATTCGTACCATGTTTATTCGCTCTTTTTGAGGGTTCACATACAAATTAATATCTAATCAACAAATCGAAATGAAGGTCGTGGAAGGTTTTTGCAATCGCATTTCGACCAAATTGGGCGGTGAAGAAAGACGACATGGATCTATTAGATGTATAACTTGATTTTTCCCCTTTTTTATCAAAAAATATGTGACATAAAATATACAAATACTAGATCAATCCTCGAAATATCGTCCATCGTTTTCGATGACTTTGCGCCATCGATCGGGCAACATATGAATGTCATCTGTAATGATTTTTCTTTGGCCTCAACAAATACTCAATAAACCCTAACCCAGAAGTCTCGATTATCCAAACACGGCCAACTCATTACCTTCGTTCTCGTAATCCGACACGTCTGAAACGCCAAAAACCCTAATGCTAAAACTGGACTCCGGGAACAATCAGCAGCTCATCCAATCCTTACTTCGTGTATTTAGGGCGCCAGCCGATTTTTAGCAACGCGGAATCGACAAACCACAAACGGAACCGTATTTTCTTAACACTAAATACTGATTGTCCCCAAAAATCCAATAACGACAAAAAACATATCGCAAACCATACGCAGAAATGTGGATTACGAGGGTACGGGATTTACTCGGCTGCTCAGTGTGCGGGTCGTGGAGAGAGGGGTGGATTCGTGGACGAGAACATCAATTAACAAAGCCAATCATCGATCGAGAAACCAATAAACCAATGTCTTAAATTCCAAACGGGATAGGTAAGGTCGACATTGAATAATAAACACAATTGTACTGACGTGTTTCGCTATTGCCGATATTAATACAAAATCGTAAATTCGTACAAACACAAAATTACATGAATGTGACTCAAAATAATTTTAAATACTCTGAAATGATCCATTAAACTCCAAAAGGACTCGAAAGATGCGAATAATAATTTTAAGTATGAAAAAGAAAGCGATCCCAATCCAAAGCTGATAGAGAGAAGCAAAGGTATTGTCCACGAGGGGAACACGAATCCGAGAGAGAGAGACTATAGGAAGGTAGCGTACGTGCGAGAGAAAACGGATGAGGTAGGTACGCGAAATAATAATAAAAAAAAGAGCTCACGAAAAGGTACTAATTTTTCTTATTTTCTACTGTAATCAGTCGAATTCCGAATTCTAGAGCGCCTGTGTAATGGTTTACTTAATTCTTATGCCATTTGTAACCCATTAAAATCGGG